GCTCAAACAGTGGATGCCCTAATTGGAAAATGCTGGAGGAAGCACCTTGCTATAAGACTGGAAACATAGCAGTCAATAATTAAAACTACCTGTTCACAGGTTCAGTGTTTATTCTGGCTGCACCACAAATTATTGTAGCCTTATGATCAGTTCTTACCTGTGGAGATACAGTGAAATGTTGCAATGCTACTTCGGATAAGGTCTCATCAAACACAGGCACTAAGATGTGACATACACACACTGCTCTCAGTCAAGGGACTGTACCTAAACAACTCTTTGAGCAGCTCAGATCTGAAGGAGAAAGTTTAGCTGAAAAAGTAATATTCACCATGTCAAGAGTAATCAAACTCCTCCACTCTTTCAAGATTTTAATATTTTTCTCACTTCTATATTATTTTCCTAAAAAAAGGCACCATAAAGACCCCTTGAATACACATCATGGCACATAGAAGATTTAAGGCAATGAAGAACAGTATTTTTCCCCTCTTGTGCAGAGGCATTAAAATAGCTGTATGCTACAGTAACAGGCATCTTACACACACTTCTAACCACATAATGTACATAACAAAATGACTATTTTTGCAAACTGCCCATTCTGCTTTGCTGTGCAGCACTAGAATGCATTTGCCCCAAAACCCCCACTGCCCAAACTACAACGATGGCATCCCTGCTAGAGTACAAGGTCACACTGTGGCACCCTAGCTCGACAGGACAGCCGTGGGCACTTTGAAGAAAGGCCACTGGGCACTGTCCTGCCCACACTCATGGGCTGAGCACCTCGGGGACCAGCAGCACAGCTCAGCACAGCCTAGAATACAAAGCCATGAGACAGTCTTAAGCCACAAAGACAAGTCTGGCCAAAGCTTTTCTGTCAACATTACAATAGAGAAAAACAGTACCTAGCATTTACTGTGTCTCCATTTATGTTGTTCAATGCTATCGTGAGTATGAACATGCTGTGAGATAGAAGCAAAAAGCAGTGTTCTTTTATGTTGTAAGCACTCTTGCTGTAATTTTGTGCCCATAACACATATACTGTGTTTACACCACCACACTAAAGAATTTTAGACTTTAAGGATTGCCTATGAAATATAGTTCCATCTAGTTATGTTTAAACATGCCATCAAAAATTTCTGGTATTTATCTACCACAACTCTCTACCTGTGCAAGTTCTCTGACTGGGGATCTGAATTATTTTCATTGCTTATTTTTTTTCAGAAATCTATTTTCTAAGAATTAATAGAATTGTCCAATCTTTTGGGGGAATACAAGAAGAAACATCTATTTCTACACACCCTGAAGAGGAAAACTGAAACATTTTACATGAGAAAATATCACTGAATAGATATCAGTTGTTCCTTCTGAGGGAGAAAAATCCAGCAATGTGAATTACTCAGCACTATAGCTGTTTTTTGCCTTTCATCTCACCGACAGCATCAGTGACAGAATGACAACCAAAAAAAAATAAAAAAGAGAGAGAGAGATAAAAGGACACAGAGATATACTGCAACAACATTAGGTATACACAGGTTGAGTATTGATGTGCTGTGAGCACAGGATGATCTGGAATGACACAATCAGGAAAAGGCAATGCCAAGAAGGGTTTTTCTCTTTCTTATTAATTGATTATTCTCTTTGCTACTAGAGGAAATTTAGGCCAACACTACCTCTTTTCTAGCAGTTAGACACATGATGTACAGTAGAGGAGGATGTGGGGGGAAACACCAAAATAATTCGAACATCTACCTCCTTTTTTTTTTCTTAGGAATGGCACATTGCTGCTGGTTTAATAAGAATGTCATAGGCGCTGCCTAACTGTGCCAAATTAACAAGGGCACCTCACACAGAAGCTTCTCCTCTGCAGCAACTAAATGCTGGCACCCTGCAAAAACATGTGTAACATGTTCCACCTTCACAATGGTCTAATGTATTAATGAATTATGCAGAAATCAAATGCAATGCAACTTTCTCTTATGATAAAAAGGTATGTTAAATTGAGGACTCTTCTCCCTATGAAAATCTCTTTGCTACTTCAAAGCAGCATTTTTTTATGGTCTGAATGTTTCTCCCTTTCCCTGCCCCCCTCTTCTCTCTGAAGCATCCTCAGTAATGGCAGAAGATCCATCTGTATTTTATAGCACAGGAAGTTTTATTGGGAGGCAAGGAGAGGGGGAGGAGTGGCAGAAGTAGTTATCAACTCCACATCACATATGAGCCAAGGCAGGCATTCACTCCCCAGACACATTCATGCCTGTAACATTCCCAAACTGCTGAGTGTATGTACAGCTGCCTTCATACGATTCAAAGCTCCTGACATCTCCCATACTGCTGATGGCACAAGAGCAGCACTGACGATCCGTGTGTTTGTGCGGTCTTCCTGCACAGAGAAATGCAAGTGGAAATACGTATGTATTTTAAAATACACTCTTCCTTAGCCAGTAAGAAGGTCAAGAACAGAGGAGGCCATTTTGCTGTATAAACAGGCTTGCTCAAAGCCTGCAGCTGGCAGCGGATGGCAGATGGACATTTTCTTTCTGTCACCATTTCTCCCACCAAAGCAGCAAGAGAGATGTTGCCAGGCCGCCTCTGTCTCTGCCTACGGCCCAAGACAAATTGCACAGAGGTGGGTGAAGAGCAGCATGTTGAAGCAACTGATAGAAACCTGGCTCCTTTCTGAAATACCTCTTCTGCCTCTGCTTAAGAATATGTTGCATAGCAGAGTGCATATTTTGCAATTTATTTTTAAGTTGCACCCTTTTACTAGTTGTTTTTAAATAAGTATCTAAGCAATCTGCACAATCCCCAAAATCTAGCATAATTATGTAACCAGTTATGGTAAACAATTTCCACAGAAATGGAAGATACTAAGTCACTATAACAAAAATGTCTTTTATTTGCAGCACGATTTTCAAAACATTTGATGTAAAACCAGAGCTCAGTTTCTCAAATGCAAAATAGATACTGCTAGGCTTTTCAGAAACTGTTTGATAGACAAACAAAGCTCTCTAATGCACTTACAGGTGGCTTTAAAAAATACTGGTCAGAAAGTATCAGATTTATTTTTAAACAGCTATTGGGTACTGAAATCAGCTTCACTTTGTGTCTGGTATCAAAATGTACTTGGTAGCCTGCACTTTTCCAAAAATCAGTATCTGAACTTTTCTGAAAACGTTCCCATGGTTGGGGCCAACAGGCTCTTTTGACATATTGTCACAGCAGCTGCTTCCCTCTCCTCCGATCCTACACACTTGGGTGCAACAAAACAAGCAAAAAATTTACATCTCCCTTCCTAACATGCTTCCACTGGACTGCTGCCGCAGAACTCCTGGAGCAGTGGAAGACGAGGGGGCAGAAAAGACCCCCTGTATGGGCCATCCACCCCTGCACCCCTGCCCATGGGTATGAAAGGGATGAGGCAGCATGGAGAGGGAAACACACCACTCAAGCAGCAACCTCTCTCCTTTATAGTACAGTCTCATGCCCCTTTCACTCCCAATTCAGCTAATGTCGAGTATCAAGCTCCATGCAGCAATGCTGGTACTCTACTTAAAGCAGATTTGAGAGTGCTAAGCAAGGCAGTGACAGCCATCTCTGAAGGTATACCATGACCCTGCATGGCAGACAACTGAAGAGGAAATAATCTCTGGGACCCTGGAGACTGGGAGCTGTTTGGCCCAGATCATTTTATGACCCTTCCTCCAAAAGGCCTGATCCTCCTATCTCTTCCCTATGTAATTAAACAGTACTTGGATGCAAAGAGCCACTGATTTCAAACATTTCCCTGTTTGATTAAGGCTTGCTCATCAGAAATAGATTTGTCCTAATTCAGTGATGGCAGTTGGATAGATTAACTTAGATAACTTGAACATATACCTTGATGCAGACAAATGGATTGTTTTGTTCTTATTAATATCAGCTATTATCTTTATTTCTGCTTTGACTCATATTCTGAATCTCAGTCAAGACTTTTTGACTGCAGAGCACAGCTGACTGAGAAATTAGTCTTTACAATTTAATGGAACACGTATGTGTTTGCCTCAGTCTGATAATGTATGCAGACTATCATCTCTGATAACAGTAAAAGAGCAGACTTCACATTTGCGAGTGACAGAAGGGGATAAACCAAAGGATATCTTTAGCTATTCATTGGTTAAAGGACTACTTTGCCCACTTCCATTTCCATTTTCACACTGCAGAGGTTAATACATTTGTTTCAGTGTATTTAGGTGATCTCAGATCTAGTAATGCACTCTGGGGGATTTAAAAAAAAAAAATAAAAATTTTACATTTTTAAAACAAACTTTGAGCAAAAGTTTATCTGATATTTACCTCATAGTCAAATTTAAAGAGTTTCCATTATGCACAGCATATAAGACATTTGTGCACATTTTATGTAATCTACAGCAATTTTACAGCTGACATCTACAAAATAAGTCCTAACAAACAGAAGGTCCTCAAGAAAAATCTCCCATGTTACATGCATATAACAAAACACTTCTGTAAAAGTTGTCGGACATTTCACATTGCAACAAATAGGATCTTGTAGTCATCATGCCAACAAACATACAGAGAAAGAAACCCATGACTAGATATTTGGAAATATTATACCATAAATCTTGCTATTTTCAAATTCATAAAGAAGCTCATAACCAACAAACTGGGGCATTAGTACAATGTGGAAAGCTAGATACCAAAACAAAAGGATTTTCTTCAATAGGCATCAAAAGTAAAGTATATTTATTACTAAAATGAACTATCATATACACATTTTTCATGGATACCATTTTGATATTAACATTAATATACTAAATTTGCCAAAGAAGTTTATTGTTTAAAAGCCGGAAGTTAGAAAACATGAAACATGCTTGCCTCAGAAAAGTAGAAAAGTAGATTTTCCCTTGAAAAATCAGATCTCTCTTCTTTCAAAAAACAAGTGAGTTTGCATTAACATCAAAAGCCAAGCAAATTAAAAACGCAAAGTATAAAAAGGAAATTCTTACTTTAACTTCCACTGTCTTCCCACCTTGCTCGATATGCCTCTCAAGATACTCAGAAGACAGCAGGTCACTGCAAGAAAAAGAAAAAAGGAACCATAAGCCTTGCGCGTGTGTTCTTGCACTCCCTCTCAGCAAGCACTGATTGAACATTTACATTTGAAAAGGGCAAAACCTGCAGGATACTTTTCCTAAAATGTTCATAAAAATCACTGAAACAACCATCTCCAATGGAGTTACACAGTGCATGGGATACATTGATTTTTAATACCAGAAGGTGGGACAAGGAAAACTGAGGGGGAGTTTCTTCATGGAAGCTTCAAAACCAGCCACTGATACTGATTTTAATTCAAGAGGTTTTCCTATTTGCTGCTAAAGCTGAACAGTACAGAATTTAGGTGGACTTTAAAAAAAGAAACAAGCAGAAGGATGAAAAACCAGCAGGAGTGACTCCAACTCAATATGAGAGAAAGTGGTAGCTGCGCTGGCAGGCTCCTAAGGACACAATGGCACAATAACAAAATGACCTTGTAACACCAATATGGTGAGCTCAGGTCTATACTTAACAGGTCAGCAAAGCCATCGGCCATGGGAGCTGCAGCCCAGGCAAGCTCACAGTGCAGGTGTGAAGGTTGTGGTGGGGCCACTGGGGCAGGTCCTGTCCTGAGGAATCCCCACCACCGCTCTCCCTGGGAGCCTGCAGCTTTAGCAATGCTAGAGGAAAAGGCTCTGGGCAACAGCAATCACAGCCTTCAAGAACACAAGGATTTGGAACAAACACTGAAGAGAAAAAACAATCAGACCTGGGGCAAACATATATAAATTAAATGCAGGTTGTATTTACTAAGACACTTCAGTGCAAAACCAGTCAAATCCTCTCCCTCATAATTATTTTCTAGGCAAGCAAATTATAGAATCACAGAATCAAGAAGGTTAGAAGGGACCAAATCATCTGCATCATAAATTTCACTAAGTATTTTCAAAGACTGCAAAATTTTACTGAGATTAAATCAGTATAAAGACTTGATATTGTCCCACCTCAGTGGTGATTAAACTGAAAAAGATGAAGAATTGGTACAGAAAACCTGAGAAGAGGCAGGTTGACTGCTGGGCCAAAAGGCAATTAGCAGAGACCCCCTCAGCAGAAGAAGCACAATTGAATATTTCTCCTTTAAACCAGCAAAACACCAGGCTAGAAGTGAACTGACCCGCTGAGGGAGGGCAGGAACAGCAGAGTGGCACCCAGGGCAGCGGCTCATCACCTTTCCAGAGCTTTGCTCTGGCCAAACAGGGAGCAGGACCATGGACTTTGTTGCTCACAGAGACATTGGTGACAGCCGTGAGTGAGCCACAAGCAGGATAAGGTTGGCAGCACGGGTCCTCCCATATCAGCCCTAAAAGCTGCCAGCTTGGTATTCGCATTAATAACCCAGGCACAAATCTCAGGAGGGTTCCAATGAAATATGCTGATAATGTTAAATTGGAAAGCATGAGGAATAAAGAAGAAGAAGAAGATCAAAGAAACTCCCATAGGAAAGACCTGGATGATCTTCAGCACTAGATATTAGAAATAAGATCAAATTCAATTATACAAACAGCAAATTTATGCACTTAAGGGATGGAGGGAATTTCTATCATGTTGTTTTGGAAGGCCTGGTTTATAAGGAAGAGAGACATGACCGCACTTGTTTCTGGCAAAATGATTTGCCAGATCAATAGGGTGTCTTCCTGAAAAACACAACTGTCATCCCAGAATACATCAAAGAAGATGTATTTCCAGTCAAACTGAGGTAAGATTAATACCACTGCCCAAAGGAAAACTCTTTCCAAATACTGCAGACAGGTACTGGACAGCTTTGTTTACAAAGTTCCATTACCTGGCAGCACAGAGGCTCCTGAAGACTAGCAAAAAATTGAGTTGTGAGGGAATGTGAATGCACCAGAGTCTATACATCAAAATATAAAGGCAGATAATTAGGCTATAGAAGATGCTGGCAGAACCTCAAATGTACGAAGACTGTCAATGGAAGCTGATGTTAAGGGGGGGGAAAAAAAAAAACAAAAACAAAAACCAAAACCACTTTGTACCTAAGTGTAAGCAACAGCAGCAACAAAAAGAGGGATGCTAACAAATTTCTGAATGGTAGCATCCATGGGACAACTGTCCATGCAGGTGGGGTTCTCTCAGTCACAGTGAATTCACAGCTGGTTGCTGCTGAAAGCAGAAGGTCTCAGTGCCCCCTCAGGAGCAAGCACTGAACCTACCTTGTGTCAGCACAAGCACTCATCAAAACACTCCTGGTGTCAGAACTAACACTCATCAAAATACTCTTCCTGTCAGCCCTGGCATAAGTCAAGGTACACTTGGGAGGGTTCAACAAACCCATGTTTTTGCTGCATTAGGTAACTGAAGTCCTTTGAGAAGAGGTACGATAAACTCCAGAGCTGACAGAAGAGAGGGAATGTACCTGAGCAGCTGCCAATAAGGGTGGAAGAAAGAGTGAGTGAGTCCTTCAGCCACTGTGGAAACTGTGATCAGCTGCCCCACATTTGCCCTCTAGGACCCCCTTAATTCTGATCAGGCCCATATACCTATAGCTATGTTGATGCTTCACACAGCCGCCTGCAGGTGACCCATTATTGAGGAGCACCTAAAAGAGATGCTGTTGAGTTACTCATTACAATACTCTAAACCCTCTTAGAAGTGAATATTAAATATTTAGGATACTCATTCTCTGGGGGAAGCTCAAAGACTTCTATAAGGTCTTGTATACCTTTTCCAGATTTAGAAATTTAGATAGACGTTCTCTTAAAATGTATTTAGTTCAGCTTGCCGAAGTCAGATACACAGTTTCCCAGCATTCACTACACTTTCTTTCAGCAGAAGTTTATGCTTCCACGGACTTACTAAAGCCTCCTTTATAGCTTAGGGCTTTACTTTTACTCTTCACTATTTCTAGGGGGTTCAGTTAAACTAAGGCTGTCATTCTTATCTGATGGCCACAAAGGGTTTTGTGCCAAGGAAGATGCAAGAGATTATAAAATGTAAGATATTAAAGTAAGTATACAGTACAAAAGTCAGGGCTCAAACAGCATGGCTTAACTCAGAAAGACTTTTATAGCTGTATTTGTAAGGATGATAAGGAGAAGCACAGGGTCTGCTCCTGTGAGTCTGACAAAATTACTGCTTTTTAAAGGATACTACTGTTAATGTTTTTATGTTCTTGAAGATCATATGTCATCTTCTCAAAGATCTGGATATTGTGTCTGCAATGAGAAAACAAAGAGATTTGATCATTCTCTGCCTTGTACAACACAAGCACTAGGAGGTAACAGAAAAGATCGGTAAACTCAGAACTAATAAAAAGGAACCTTTTCTGGCACAGCCACTAGTTACAATGTGCCAGTTCAAGACACTTTTAAAGCCTATCCTAAGTAACATGGCAGTATATGTCCGAGAATATTTTACAACCTCTTGCCACAGGAAGGTATGGATACTAGAGGTCTGTATTGGTCCAAGTCGGGAATGGACAAGTTAGTGGACATAAGTGGGAGCTGCCAAATGCACAGAAATTGCACCTGACTCAAAGTCTTGGAGTCCTGGAAAAGGACACCGGGGAAGCCTCATACAAGCTTCTTCTGCTCTTCCACTTCTCCCTCAGCATCTGCCCAGGGCTACTGCGACAGGGCAGTTGGCCAAGCACCCCTTTGACCTGGCCTGGGCTGCTCTGCCTGCACCCTGAAGGGCTGTGTTTCTCTTATGGCTTATACAGGGTCCCCTGGGATCCAGCTCCAGAGTTGCTGGTGGTCAGTCAGCTGCTCTTCTCCCACCCATCACCCTTGTGATGAACATACCCAGGTTGTTCAAGCTGTGTTTATTTACAAAGTAGGCCAAGAAAAGGATTCCTAAACAGGTCCATCCATTTTTTCCTCCTTCTTTGTCCTTACATTTTTGGGACAAAAGGGTGAAAACGGCTGGGGAACCACTGGCACTCCCCCACCTCTTAAGGATTCTTGCAAATGCCTTGATTCCCAAAATGAGCCTGCCTGGAAGGGAAACACCATGGGGTCACCTGCCTGCATAGCTCCTGGGGACCAAATTAAGAGCTTACAAACAGACAATGGGTCTGAATTAAAGACACTTTTAAGTAACATGGCAGGATATGTCCGAGAATATTCTGTCAGTATAAAAACCACAAATGAAGCCATGTTATGCTTTATTATTATGACTCACTGCACTGAAAATATCATAAGAAAACACAACACTCTTGCAGATCCAATAATGCAATCAGTGCTATTACAAACTAATCTACAACCTAACAGTTATAAATGATCTTAAAAACTCAGGCCAAAAGATATGCTTCTCTCATGAGATCACCTCATAGGTGGAGTCATGTTTTGTCTTCAGTACCAGTGAGGCACATAAGTGCATAATTTTAATAGAAGTCATTGCTTTAAAACAAACAAAAAGCTAGATTAATACTTGTGAAACATTATTACAATTATTTAAGGTAAAACAGAGCAATCAGCATTAAAATAACATGCATTTCAACATAAATAAATAAACACTTCCCTATGGTAGAGATAAAATAGGAGCAATTTAGCTTGCCTGCCAATCTATCCTAAAAGCCATCTTTGTCAGCTTAAATAGTAGGTTTTGTATCAATTATAAATAAAATCCATGAAAAAAGATCAGACTGTGAAAAAAAATCTAAGAAACACCAGGGATAGAGAAAATTACAGAGAATAAAACATCAACACTATGAAAGACAATAGTGTAGAATGAGATTTTCAGAAACATTTGCTGAGGCATTGACATAAAATCTTTGAAAAGGCACAGCAAAAACCTGCATATGTTAAGACTTAAAACAACAAAAAAAAAACATTTCACGGTAAAAAAGCACATGTGATCTGTTGTTTTTACAAGGAAAAAAAATGTTACACTAGTAATGGCAATTCTGGTTTCAGAGGTCTGTTATTTTTTAAATGTACACAAATTTAGTAATGTAGGTTTTTTTCAGCAGCATCATTTCTTTGAGCATTATCTTAAGTCCATATGAGACAACTCATGAGTCCATATGAGACAACTCATGAGTCCATTCAATACAGACTCAATAGCATTGAGACTGTATTGTTCTATTGAGACTCAACAGAACAAAAAATGAGCAAGCTCCTCTCTGCTCTTCCAATGCTCCCAAACAGTCACAACAGTACACAAGAGGTAGAGGCTGCGGGCAATTTTTTTTACAGAACAGGGCCCCAACTAAGGAAATAACCCTTATCCAAGATGATGCATATATTTGCACTTGAATTGTGCCTTGAATTAACTGCAGCATTTGCATATGAGGTTTACCAAAATGAAGCTGGGAGTGAGAACCCAGGAAAACAGATCGGCTTTGGAAATAGATGGGTTCCCCAGCAGAAAGAGGCTGCTCCAGGAAGAAAAAGAGGTTAAAAAAATGTACTGGCAAGAGAAAAGAGGACAGAACAGGTCAAGTGTTTAAAGAAACAGAAAGAAAAAAATAGGAGATTACAAAGCACTTCTACTCAAAAGAAGAAAAAAACCAGCCACTTAAGATTTTTGAAAAAGGAAGGGGTTTGCATATGAAATATGAAATGGATAAAAAACTGGAAATTATCCCTTGAAATTTAATAGAAACGTTCACTTTTAAATACAGAAGGAAAATTCCTGCTTCTGAACAAATATTAACTTTCTAGATTTAAGAGACTGAAAAGACTAAGAGCTACAGAAGAAAAGAAGCAGAAATGATAGGGAACTCTTTAGAGGCCACAGGAAGAATTACAAAATCAAGAAAGGTAGAAATAGAGGGAGCTCATAATCACAGTACTAAAATGCACCTTTGTCAACATCAGTGTTATAAATGAGAGAAATGACTGGCTTCATGATATCTGATATCATTGCTGTGTCTCCTTGAACACCATAAGAATTCTTTATCATTTCTCCTGTTTGTTCACCCTGATTTCTGTCTCCACAACTCTCCATTATGTACACCTGAAATTTCAGATTAATATAGTGATTTCAGATTAAATATGGTGCCAGACAAGGACATCAAATGAGAGATCTAAGGTAAGATGCATTACTGAAAAGGAAGAGAGGGTTTTAGTTGAAGTCAGCAGAAATGTCTGAATGGGTGGAAAGCCAGCAGGAAATTATCAGCAGACATATGGAGACATTCAAGAGAAAACGGTTTCAGGGAAATGATAGAGACACTGATAAGAGATTGATGCCGTATCAACTGCACAACTAATGCTAACCCATGTTGCAGAGCAAGCTGTGAGAAGGAAGCCTCCTGCAACATCATTTTTGAAAGGGCTGCAGTAAAAGGAATGGGCACTGTTTGAATGATGAAACTTCCCATAAAATGAAATATTTTCCCCCGATGGCGTACACCCTATACCAAGTATTAACAGGACTAATAGATATGGAAGGAGTGGCTGTGGGAGGTAATTTTTAGAACAGCCCATCTTTTACAGCAGGAAAGAGAAGGCAGCTTGATTATCATGAATAAAGAACCAAGAAAGTGGAAGACCAGATGAGAGGGAACAGAACTGATGTTTGTATCTGCCAGTCAGTAAGAGTATAATGCAATTTGTATTACCTTGCATTACACTATGGTCCTAAAACATTTTCGGTATCAGCCATGAGCTAACTACAGCAAGATAAACTTTAAAAAGCCCCTTAGCTGGTAGATTTCTGTATCTGACTACCTAGGACATTTTAATTCTCCTTTATCCTCATGCCTCCCCGGAAACCTTCTCTCTGCTCACATATGATCTTTCTTTGCCTTTAGGAGGGATTATCTATCTCCATACTCCATGAACCAATCTGCTTTAATAGCCACAGCTCTAAAACTTTCATCTCCACCTTCCCATCAAAAGAATTGCTGAATTTCTTTTTATGTGGATGGTTAATTTAATTAATGACTGTATCTGTTAAATTAGCCAAATGGACTAATCAATCAGAATTAGATAGCTTCTCGTAGACACAGCAACAGTTTTCACAGTGCCTACTCAGAGGAATTAAAAAACAACTGAGAAAAACAGAGCCGGTTTTTGTCTGCACAAATTGACATTTCACCCCTTTTTAAAATATTCTTACTGTGCTTTTCTGTTTTTATTGCTGCTAATATGAAGGGGAGAAAGGAGAATGTAATCTCTTAATATTTCTACTCCCATCAACTATTTAAGACCTTCTTCAAAAAGAAATTAGGGACTTAAGAAGGGGTTAAATCCTCAAGGGATTATACACAAATGCTGAGTCGTACCCAATCTCTGTCCTTTCCTGGAGCTTAATTTCACATTTCAGTAATAAACAATGATGCACAACTTGAATCTCTGTTGATGTTTCTTCCAAATACTAACGTTTGCTCATTTGTTTCCTCTTCAGTACTTCTGTCTCAGATCCCTAATGCCATCTGACTTGAAAATGCACTTAGTCCCTTCATCCCTTAATAGCTAATTTGCCTGTAGGACACAACAGTAACTGCCCTGCATCCTACTGCAGACAGGAAACCACAGAGCAACTCTGCAGCCCTGCACAGGGCCTCCACCTCTGCCATCAGAGAAGGAGTCTCACAGCTCCGGCTTACGAACAGTATGTGTTTCATTTACTGGACTGGC